CGGCCCTGTCCTGATCTTTCTTACCAAGCTGTGCAGAACATTTCCTCAGACACTCAGTTTTGCCTCAGTGAAGCCTGGAGATACTGAGGAAGGGCAGGCTGGCGACAGCGTAAGGTCATGCCTGCGGCACCAGGAGGCACCCATGCGCAGATGGGGTGGGCAGAGTCTGGCTGAGTCCAAGTCCTGCAGTGGGTGGCAGGGGGTCCTTGGTGGAGGTAGGCATCCTGGCATTGCAGCACAGGGCTCTGTCAAGGCTGCAGTGGCTGTTGGCCTCCATCTCTCCGTCGTCCCACCTCCTGCTCAGCCCCTCCTAAACCAGGTGGTTGGCACCGCCGGTATGAGGGTGACTTATTCACAGTCACGATCCCTTCTCCCCTTCATTGCCCCCAAGGTGGATGACTGAGGATGCAGAGGCCTCACTGTCAACTATAGGATCTCATTTCGTCCCCAAGCCCCTGTGATTGGCACCAATGTCCCCATTTCAAGGGTGGAGAAACCAGAGGCCCACAGAGATCTGGGCACCAGTTTGTGGGAGGTCCAGAGCTGCAAAAGGGCCACCCGTGCCATCGCAGAAATGGCTTCACAGGGGACAGTTCCAGGGGGCTTTCTGCAGCCCAGGAAGCCTGGAGCATCCCATCCACTTCTCATTTTTTTCATCCCCACTTCCCAGGGAAGCAAACTGAGACTCAAGACGTGGATCACGTCAGCAATTAAAAAAGCTCTGTCCACAGACTAGTGTGGATGCAGCAGCCCTGGTTTGTGCATTCTGTGACGTTCTGCGGCGGTGCATTCCTCTCAGGGCTCCAAGTGCTTGGCTGGGAGCAGCCCCACCTCCTGAGGCTGGGTGCCAGGCCAGCCATCTGCTCCAGGACAGCCTCCCCCTCCCCAGCTGCTGATTCTCACTGGCTCCAACTGCTGCAGCCGGGAGGAAGTTCCAGGAAAGAGGTCTCAGCCAGCCTCTCCTGCAGCCTTGTTTTCTGCCGTGGGCATTGCCATGTTGCATAAATGGCTCTGCCAATATTACTGGGCTGCTGTTCTCTGTTGAGGATGCAAGGGAGGGAAGGACCACTTTCCCTGGCCTCACTCAGTGTCCAACCATGTCAGCTCCTTGACTAACATCATCCTTCAATTCCGGTTTGGTTCTGCACAGTAGCCCAGCAGGCTCTCAAAGCTGAAGTCACACTGGGTCACCGCCCTGCGAGGGCCCAACCCCTGTGTGGAGGAGCAACACCAGGTCTCCCTGCCAGCCTGGGACCTGTGGTGTGGGCACAGGCTGCAGCCTACCTTGTGGAACGCATCTCCTGGGATGCAGTGCGGTCTCTGCTGGGATGGGCACACCAGGGGCACCCTGTCCACCTACACACTACTGCTCTCCAATGCCGGGCCTGGTTCTTGGATGCATCACTTGAGGGCCTTGCTTGGCCACTCCCCAGACCCCAGTAGGGCTCCCATCAGCCTCCTTTGTGTTCTGGGCGCCAGTCACCATCCAGGTGGGGTGTGTGTCCCCTGGTGGGCATCTGCTTCCTTGCTGAACTGTAGGCTGTGTGGGGCAGGGACAGAAGATTTGTGCTCATCTCCATGACCCCAGGGCCTGGCTCTGACTGGTTCTCAGCCACCTCCTGGACTGTCTGAGTACCATGTGGCTGCCAAGCCCCGAGGTCCAGGCAGCTTCCTCTCTGTCTTCAAGGACACGGGCTCAGAGCCATCAGGAAGTGATGTGCCAGCCTCACCTGTGGCCACACTGACGATCACATCAGGTGATTTGCCCTGGGGTCACAACCTCCCAGTGACGATGATGTGTGTTTACTATCCACCCTGGCTTTTCTCCGTGCTTAGACCTGGATGATTTCAGAGCAGAAAATCAGTCCCAGTGTTCCACAAAACTCCTAAGGAAACATTTCTGGGGGCACCAGCATGCAGGGGTGAATGTAGACATTCCATCAGGAATGGAGCTAGGAACCACCCCTTTACCCAAGGGGCAAACCCTGGCAAAAGGTGGGATGCTTGGAAGCTCTGGGACCAGATGGGGGACTGAGGGGAGGGATGGGAGGCGGCACTGGTGGCTCCACCCACAGCAGGTTGTGGGGAACGGGAGAGGAAGAGGCAAAGCCTTGGAAGCCAGATGGCACCAACTCAGGAATGCGGCCCAAGCCTGGATGGTGGAGGGGTCCTCCAGTCACTGTCCCAGCTGCATTCAGCTCTCTGTGTACCAGCCTGTCTCTGAGCTGGACTCACAGGAGTTCTGCCCTTGCCGAGCTTGTGCTGGCTGGAGGAGGCAAAAAAAAAAAAAAGTGTTAATGGGTAAATAACTGTAGATGGTGATAGATGCTGAAGAGACTACATCAATCAAAGAGGTCAGAAAAAGCCTCGCTGAGCTGGAAACCCACATGACAAACAAAGCTGGGTGCAAAGATCGGGGGCCAGGCAGGGTCCCCAGCAGTAGCCCCAGTGGGTACTGAGGCCTTAAGCTGGGAATATGCTCCCTAGCGGTGTGTACAACCAGCTCAAACAGGCTAGAACCAGCTCACACAAGTGGACTAGGCCATGTTTTCCCATGGGGCATTCAGTGCCAAGGCATGCATGGATAGCTGGAGAGCAGCTTGGGGAGAGCGTTCATGCGATGGAGGTGGGCAGACCCACGGGGCCCACGCCTGAGCTCCAGATGCGAGTTAGAGTTACCAGTGCAAGGCCCAGAGCACTGGGCCCCGGGGGAGGGCGGGGGTGGGGCTGTGTGTGGGAGGAGCCAGCCTGCTCAGTTGCTGGCCTGTCCCTGGAGGGCTTCAGGCAGAAGGGCAGCATGATTTGATTTTACTGTGCCAGACCAAGTGCCAGACCAAGTCTACAGAACAGACTCAGGTCCAGGAAGGAGTAAGTGTGTGAGCCAGGAGCCAGCGGTGGCGGCAGGCGTGGGGAGTGTTGATGGGTCAGAATTGGGTAAGATGTGAGCCAGGAACCAGGGCGAAAGCCACAGCAGCAGCTTCAGAGCAGAGTGGGGCCAGGGCGGGGGTGTAGGGCTGGGCCTTTTCCATGGGGGTGGGGAGGGGTGGGCAGTGAGAAGGGAGGCAGTGACCTCTGTCACCTGCAGTGGGCAGCTGTGACACTCAGGTGAGAGATGACAGCGGTGAGCTCCAAGGGCTCCGTGCCCCTGCAGACATGAATCCCCCTCAGAACACTTGCCCTCGCTTCAAGCACTCTTGTCCCGAGGTCTGTCCAGCGGATCCCTAGGGTGGGAGGTGGTGGCTCCACAATGGCTGCCTTCTCTCCACTGTTGGGGCCAGGGGACCACTGCGGTCTGTACCCCACAGTCATTAGGCAGGGGCCTCTCAACCCTGGATGACCACAGAGCCCTGGAGGGGCTCCTCCCACCCCAAACTCATTAAGCCCAGAGGTCTGGAGGGTGGGAGGTGAGGACTATGCCTGGGGACTTCTGGAAGGTCCCCAGGTGTCTCTATGGTGGCCACTGGGTTAGGACTCGAAGCAGAACAAAAGACCGGCTGTTTTCCACGCATTTCCTAGGCTGTGCATTCTGTCATGGGCACAATGGCAAGGCCTCGGGCCACCCCTAAATGAAACCCCAAGTCCTTCTCTGCCCCATGGCCCCTGATGAATGCAACACCCCGTCAGTCGCTCCTCCTTGTCTTCTGTTCACGTTAACTGTCGCTGGACTGATCCAGCCGCTGCTGCAGTCCCCAAGGACATGAAGGGCTGAGCCCCACGGGGCACTGCTCTTTCTAGATGGGGAGATGATGGCTGATTGGAGGTTCCAGCCATGCTGCTCGGCACCAAGGGAGACAAGGAAAGGAGCTACATCCATTTGTCCAGGGACTGTCCGTGGGAGCCAGCCAGAGGGCATGGAGAATTCTAGGATTCTCTGGTGTTTCAGGGAAGAGCAGGGAGGCCAGAGCCAGAAGTGTTTTGGAAAAATGAAGTCGCTCCAAGAATAAAACACAGTGCCGCAAAGACAGAGTGGTGCAGTCCCTCAGGTTACACAGTGAGGCTGAGAGGAGGTGTGGGAATGACACCTGCCCTGGAGCATATGCAGGGTGATCAGAATATATGGTACTTGTTCATATTTTTTTTTAAACTTACAGTAAAAGGCGCATGGCCATGAATCCCCCTCAAAACACCTCCCCCACTTCCAGCACACTTATCCCATCATTCTTGCCACTTTCTGTAGCAGTTCCAAAAGTCCTCTTTTTTGAGTGTCTGTATGAGATGTGATCAAAAATACAGGGCCGGGGATTTAGCTCAGTGGTTCCACCGCCTGCCTCGCAAGCGCAAGGACCGGAGTTCGATCCCCGGTACCAAAAAAACCCACAAACAAACAAAAATACAGTAAATGCTGCTGCCCTGTGCCATCCAATGGAAAGGCAGGCTCCTAGAAACATGGTGTTGTGTCCTTATCCACCTATTCACTGGATCTAGTGCTGTGCAACTTCAGTCTCTTCCCTAAGGTCAAAATGACCATGAAAGGGGAATGCTTTGAGTTGATTCAGGACATCAAGGCAGCCAGGATAGTGCAGCTAATGCTACACACAAAAGATTACTCCAGAACCTGTTATGCACTGGGCCCCTGTTTGGTACCACTGGGCGGGGGTGCCTGTGGGCCTCCTGCCCTTGGAGACCTGACCTCGGGTTGACGGGAAGCCGGAAGCCAGGCAGCGAGTGCCCAGAGCTGTAGCACAGTGAGGTGTGTGCCATGGGCCCCAGCCTCTCTGAGTTGACATCTGTGACCTGAGCGCTGTGGTAGCATACTGGAGCCCTGGTAGCCAGGTGCTGACATACTCTGACTTTTGTATTTTACCAGCTTGCTGTGTGGCTTGGGCAGTTCACACCACGTCTCTGAATCTCATTCTCATCTGTAAAAAAGTAAAGGACACAGGGAGCTCACAGGGAGGCCAGGATTGGCCCCGGTCCTCCTCTGCAGAGGCCAGCACATGAATGACACCCCCCTTTCTCACATTTAGCCTCCCTAACCAGCTCCCTTCTTGCCTCTCCAGGGCCCTGGTCTTCGTGTCGCACGGTGCGGGGGAGCACTGTGGCCGCTATGATGACCTGGCTCGCATGCTGATGGAGCTAGACCTGCTGGCTTTTGCCCACGACCACGGTGAGTACTTGGGGTGCTGTCGCCACTGGCCAGAGAGCTGCATTCTCATCTGCGCCACCTCTGTCCATCTTCTCCACGGCTTTCTGCTCTGTACATTGTTCTCAGAAAAAATATAGCTATATAAACAGGAAAATATGTCTGACCAGCAGTTTCTGTGGTGTCTGAGGCTGAATGCAGGCTGACTGGAAACGTCTTGTAAACCCAGAGTTGGATGAGCTTCCATAAGAACCCGCCCCAGGCCACAAACCCATTCTTAGATTTACAGAGCACTGTTTCTCCAAACAGGGCCTGATTTTCTCCCCCAGGGGACCTCAAATGGATGCGGTGAGGGAGGGCAAGTTCAATTTAAACCTGGCCCAACCACAGGAGTTTACAAAGCATTCCAAGCCAGGAGAATGTAAAAGTCTCACGAGGCCATCCTGGCTGCAAGAAAATACCAAACAAACACATGCACACAGACAGGCACATATATACAGTTACATGTTCACACATGCAACATGCATGCACACATACGCACATGCACGCAAACTTAGACATGCATGTATGCACACAGTGTGCACATACACATCTGCATGGGTACATGTGTGTGCGCCTACATGGATGAACATGTGAACATGTGTGTGCAGTGTGCACGTATCCAGGCACGTATGTGCTTGCATGCACACATATACATCTGCACACATGTACACACACCTCAGGCCAGCTCATTCTTTATCATGTAGCAAAGCCCACAGCAACCATCGCAATACAATGTTCACTGTCCAATTTGGTCAGTGGCCTTTTAGTCGTTTTATGACAGTCCCCATGGCTGCAGAGTCCCTGATGGTATCCTTTGCCTGACAGCTTGTCAGAGCTCCCTGTGGCTGAGCATGGCGTCACCTCTGTAAAATTCTACCATTCAGGCCCAGATCCTGAAGTGCTGCTTCTGTCACATCTGATTTGAAAATAGATAATTAAAGATGTCGCCGGAGAGAGAATGAGGGGAGCTGAGGCAGGGGCCTGGGAATCCTGTAAAGGGAGAAAAAGCTCTGTGCGAGCCGGCAGAAGCTCACGCATGAGGAAGAGCTGGCTGGGGCATTTTGTACAGAAAGATCTGCAAGTCTGATTTGCCAAGAACCCTTTTAAAGCCAAATATATGCAAGTGTCCTTGGGATCGAGAATAATGAACAGATTCTTTCCTGTTACAGTTGCAGTGATCTTCAGAGCTTTGCGGGCTGTCCCAGGAATATTTGACAGACCAAGAAATAATGTGCTAGGGTTATCCCCGAGGCTTTTGCTGTGGGGACTGCATCGTAACTCGGGTACTTTTCACGCTGCCTACGGGCCTGAGACAGGACCTCGCTGGTTCTGATTGCATTTGTCTCCATTAAGGTTAGAGGAGGGCAGCTCACTGTGCACCTCAGATTGCAAGTTTCTGCCTTGTATCTCGGTATCAGCCACCTTCTTATCAGATACACTTGGCCAGATCTGGAGGATTAAGTAAATGTTGTGCTTAATTTATTCTGTCTGATAGCGGCACTTGGAAAAACAATTTCAAAAGGCTCCTTTTTTAGAATGAAGGGAGAAAAGCAAACCCCTTCCCCCCTTTTAATGATTCCAGAGTAACAGCTAATGTGGAGGCAAGGCTGTGCTGGACTTCCTAAATGCAGGGTGAGAGTGACTGTTTGTGTTCACCTGATTCAGGTTCCTAGAGGGACTCTGAAAACCTCTGGCTTGTGCTAAGGGAGGCACCTGATTCAGGAAATGGGCCCAGGGGGCTGTGTGGGAAGACTTCTGTGGTCTGTAGATGGGAATGACCGGGCCTTCGTGAGCAGGAGAAAGCAGATGGGTGGGCAGCCAGGTGCAGTCCCAGGCTGGCTGGAGAGCAAGGCCAAGGCTTGGTGATCCTTTCTTTATTCCCGTCTAGCTGGGGAATGTGACAGACAGGAGGAAAGATCAGAGCCCCGAGCTGCTGGTTCTAAGGCTGGCTCTTTCTGTGACTTTGGCTTTTGCATTCCAAATGGCTTTTGGGTGTAAATGTCACCTTCCCAGGAAAGGTGGAGCATTCGCTGTGCCACTTGGAGGTGCACTAAATCTAAATGCACACAGCTGAAAGCACCACTGAAGGCCCATGGCTACCCCAGTGCCAAATCAGCCCAGACCTCCCATAGTCACACTATGGTCCCTGCCTGCTGTGACTTGTTAGTGTCACTGTGACCACCACCCAGACACCAGCAGGGCTCAGCCTCGGACACACCTGGCCCTAAGTCCCCACTCAATGGGGAGTCCCAGCTGTCTGACCTGAGCCTTGTTCATCCATCCCAAGCCTTAATTTTCTCATCTGACAACTGGGCGATCCCCCCTCTCACCTCAGTTCAGCCTAGCTGGTATGCTGTGTCCCAGAATGGCCATCACTCCCAGGTTCTGCCCAGAGCCGGCAAAGCTGAAGCCAAGAGGCTGGGACCTGGGGTTCCCGTTCCAGCCCTGCTGCCTCCAGCCTGGTCCTCTCTTGGGCCTGCGAGGCTGGTGAGAAGATGAAGCAGTAGAGGAAGTTGCTTTACAAAGTAGATGGACCTGGTATGGTGGTTTCATGGAGGGTTTCGGTAACCCAATTTACAGACACACTGGTTCCCAATAAATCCTGCATTAACTGCTTTGAATCACATGGGTCCTGGAACCTGGCCACACCCCAGTGTGTCACCATTAAGGTAGATAGCTGGGCGCCGTGGTCGTGGCAGTCTGGCCATGCTTCTGAGCTTGCTGGGTAGACTAGGGTGGCCATTTTAGCTTTGTGTTCCATTTTAACCTTTGAGGTTTTCCAGAATGACCCCAGGGGTTTGAACAGCTTGCCAACAGTGAATGCTCTGAGCCTGTTGTCCTAGCTATTCAGGAGATAGAGGCAGGGGAATCATGAGTGCAAAGACAGCCTGGGCCACTTAGCAAGACCTTATCTCAAAATAAGAAATAAGAAGGGCTGGGCTATAGCTAAGGGGGAGAGCAGCCCTGGGTTCCATCACAGTACTGGGAAAAAAAAACAAACCATTAGCCTGTGACCTTCATCCCCATGGGCACTAGCTCCAGTCTCACATTCCACTCTAAGTAACAGAAAACAGGAAGTTCTGACATAAGAGACAGGAAGCAGGAAACAAGAGGAAAGAGTAGGGCTCTCCCAAGTGAGGGCCGCCATCGTTCCCAGAGGTGCCGGCGCTTTGTCCCCTGACTCCAGGTTGCTGCAAGAGAGGCAGGGAAGCATCACTTGCTGACCTGAATGACACAGGAGTCTGTGAGACAGAAGTTGAGGACAGACACTGGAGGTGGCTCATTATTGAAGAGTTTATTGTTTCCTGTCCTTTCTGCTTGATGCATCTTTCGTCTCCTCCATCCCTGTATTCTTTCATAAGGTTGGAGGCAATGGTTTTTATTAGAATCATCAGTAAGTGTTGGGACAGGTCTCTAACTGTGCCTTCACTCTGCGCAGGGTTTTGTCCTAGGAGAATCTCCAGGCACAGAAACTCCTGTCCTACTGGTAGCAGGAGCTATCTTCCCCAGGAGCAGTAAGCAGCTCCTCTCTAAATGCATAACTTTGTCATAGTGCTTACTTTGCCATGTGGTAACTATCCCCTTATGGGTAAGGCCAATATGGACTGGGTCTTAATATGTTATGCATTAGCTTGTCTCTCCACCCCATGACCTTCTCGTCATCCATCCACAGCCCAGAACTAAGCAGAGCTTTAGCGACATCACCAGTGTTTGGTGAATGACTAGAAGATCAGACCAGAGATTAAACTAGAACAGATTTAGAATTCTGATCAGACCAGAATTTGATCAAGACCAAGTTAGATGAGACCAGAAATGTTTTGATTATAAGTAGTAAGACATCCACATCAGAGTATCCACATGAACAGGGCACAGACGAGACTCATTATGGAGAGGATCTGGTGTCATGGCCACTGGAACCTGGAGCCCAGTGGTCGATAGTCTGGGGGTGCCGTCAAGGGGAGCATGTAGGTGATGTCACCATGCAGGAATAGAAGAACCACAAGGCTGCGGCCAAGGTAGTGGCATGGCACTGAGTCACACAAGTGTCCCTAGATCGTAGGGAGTGAGCAATGGGTCTTGTCAGGTGAGGGGGAACTTGCCAGGAGGAAGAGCGTGGATCATACGCTCACCCCAGCTGCCCTTGGATTCCCTGGGGAGCATCGCCAAGGTCAGATGCCTGGCTTCTCTCCCTTGTCCTGGACTCTGGTATTGGGGGGGTTGAATAGCCTAGTGATTCCCCAGTGTACCCCGTGTGGACAACACCATTTTAGGCAGAGAAGGCCAGGCAGGTCAGGGAGTGCAGGCTCTGCAGGGGGACATTGGAGTAGGGTGGACAGGGTGGCTGCTGGAAAGTGCGCCAGGCTCAGGGAGCAAGGGTGGCCACCAGGGGTGCCTTAGGATGGGCAGGCTGGTGAGGGAGAGGTGCAGCCGGCCGAGGCTGGAAACCCCAGAAAATGGTTTCCTGCAACAATCTAAATACAGCACAGTGGAAACCGGGGCCACCCCAGGGCACATGGTCCCTGGGTCCCCCAGCCGCTCCGGGTGACTCACTGGAAACCCCTCAGTCCTGCATGACACCTGGCTGTTCGGATTGCAGACAGCAGCGAGGAGGGCTAGGGACTCTCCAGGGGCGGGTCCTCTTCAGAGAGGCAACAGGAAGCCACGCCCAGTGCATCCTAGAATCAGTCATCAAGAATCTGCTGCCCATGATGCCACTTCCCTGCAGGCCACATTTAGGTAGAGCACCTGTTCAGCATGCAGAGCCCCAGGTCCATCCTTGGTGACACCACGGAGAAGACAGACCACCCGAAAAGATGTGCTTGCCGGGCCAGGACTTTCTCTTTATTTACAGAGTGTAGAGGAACCATCCTCAACTGATTAACAGTGAATTAATTATCCGCAAATATTTGAGGGAAAGTGCTAACAGCAGGGTGTGTGCGTGTGCGTGCGTGCGTGCCTGTGTGCATGTGTGTGTGAGTGTG